ATTTCTATTGAACTGGCACTTCTAACAGGCTGGCTCAGCTTTTCCAGCATTTTCATTGAAATGCATGTGGAAAATTTTCTATCGCCTGCCTGCAACGTTGCGTAAAATTAGAAAGCATTGTGTTGAACTTCAATGGGCAAATTTATGAGAACTGCCAGAAGCTCATCAATGAGCCGCGCTCTCCCTCTCTCTCTTTCTCTCTCTCTCTCTCTCTCTCTCTCTCAAGTGGGTGGCAGTTCTGTGGGTAGCTATTCAAGTGTGTTAATTAATTAAAAGGTTTTAGCTAATTCAGCGATTCGCTCTTTTTGGATTGCGTAATGCAACTATATTTGTTTTTAATTTTTTGTATTTATTCACCCATTAAATTTTACTTTGAGTTTAATTGAGTATTAGCTGGTATTGTCCTTGCTACATTTGATTTAACCCATTTTCCACTATTTAAAGCAATTAGAGTTCTATATCTAATCGGTTGTGGATAACAGTTTTCCAGCCATTCGAAATAAGTGAACCACGACTTTTAGAATAAGTGCGTAATACTTACTTGTGTGTTGTAAAAGGAAAGTTAAGTAAATCTCTCTAAAATGCGGAATAAATATTGTTTGTGCTGCCTAATAACAATTTAATATTCAAAAGCCAACACTCATCAATCCCATTAACGCAAATATTTATAGTTGTTATTCAGCTAAGCCCACAGCAATTAGCGCATTTTGTTATCTCTATATATAAAACTGTTTGTCCTGACTGACTGACTGACTGACTGACTGACTGACTGATTGGTGATCAACGCACAGCCCAAACCGTAAGAGCTAGGAAGCTGAAATTTTCACTGTAGTTACCTCATGTGATAAAGGTGCACGTTAAGACGGGGTTTCGGGAAATTCCACTCGCAAGTGTGGAAAAATCGCGAAAAACGTTTTTATGTAACTTTTTTGTTTACCATCCGATCAGCCCCAAACTTATTTTCAAAGATATTTGTTCAAATTCATTTGAGGGGTGTTTCGCACTTTTCGGAAAACCCATTCCTCCTTGGTGGAAATGGAGGTCAAAGATTTGGTGGGTGACGTTTCGCGCTCAAATTCATTTCCAGTGATCTATATGAAAAATCATTTGAGACGTGTTTCTCACTTTTCGCAGAATTCAAACTTCTTCGGGGGGAATGCGATTTAAAGATTTTTTGGGCGGCGTTTTAAGTTGTGTCCGATTTCTTTCAAACTTATTTTTAAAGCTCTTTATAAGAACTTAATAAGTACGTATTTCAGCGATTTGGAAAATTCCACCCGCAACAGTGGTAAATTGGCGGAAAACGGTTGTATGAAAGTTTTTTGTTTACCATCCGATCGGCCCCAAATTCATATTTCAAGATCTATGTTTAAATTCATTTAAGGGGTGTTTCACACTTTTTGAAAAATCCATTCCTCCTTGGTGGAAATGGAGGTCAAAGATTTGGTGGGTGACGTTTTGCACTCAAATTCATTTCCAGAGATCTATTAGAAAAATCATTTGAGACGTGTTTCACACTTTTCGCAGAATTCAAACTTCTTCGTGGGGAATGCGATTTAAAGATTTTTTGTGCGAAGTTTAAAGTTGTGTCCGATTTGCTTCAAACTTATTTTCAAAGCTCTCAATAAGAACTTAATGAATACGTATTTCGACGATTTGGAAAATTCCACCCTCAACAGTGGTAAATTGGCGGAAAACGGTTGTATGAAAGTTTTTTGTTTACCATCCGATCGGCCCCAAACTAATTTTCAAAGAACTATATTCAAATTCATTATTCATTCACATACGTGCCACGGGCAAGGCCGGGTTATACCCGCTAGTTATTTATATTTAACAATTAACCTAATTTGATAAAAAAAAACGATGAAAAAATCTACAAAAATCGGACATTATACGTTTATGTGGCTAATCCCAAACCAAAAATAATACCGCACACATTTAAATATGATTGTATATGAAGCGTGTCAAAAGCTGCCGCATAAAAGTTCAATAAACTCGAATGTTTCCATTATAAAATCAATATGCAATATTATGAATATTTTATTTTGGGCCACACTCACACGCACTCACACACACAAGCAACCACAACAACAACAATGAAAAGCGAATGAAGCACAACTAAATCCCCAAAAGGCAATTGATTAGCTTCAAAATGGGGACAATTGGATAGCCGCAAATGTATTTTAATATTGGTTACCATATTACAGACAGAGAGAGAGGCTCTCTCTTTCTAACGCCCATTGAGCAAGGGAAATACAAAATTTATGTAAATCGTTGAGCCACGTGAAATTCAATGAATTTCGATTTGTTGCTTAATTTTTTTTTTGTTTTTGTTGAAATCCCACGATAAATCACCCACTGTCAACCTTTTAAAGTTGCATTGGAAGCGATACGATTTAAATGTCCCAAATAGTTTTTCCATCATGGTTATGAATAAATTGTGTTGGGTGGGGGAGGGGAGAGAGGGGTTGCCAAAGCGAAAATGGAGCAATCGCTTGAAGCTGTCGCCTGTAAGGCAAAAATTGCACAAAGGCAACGCCGATTGGGAAAACAGGACGAACAGCACAAAAACAAGAAAAAATGGCTATCTATGCGACGACGAAGTTTAAATACCCTTTACGAAATATGGCTTTCTATTCGGTCGATTGCTCCCATTGGAATCCTTTCTGATACGACTTTGCAGATATGTTAGGAGAAAAGTGAAGCTCTTAAAGGGATAGTTTGAGAAACAGAAAAATTATTTATACCAAGACTTAGATTACAGATTACAAGAGTTCGTATTCAGTCTACCCTCATATTAGAGCTATACGATGTAGTGTTCTGATGTTGATGAGACTATAATTATAAGGATGCATAAGCTAGTAAATACCGATTAAAATATATTGAAAAACCAAAAAGATTTTCATAAAAAACTTAATTTCCTTTCGTTCCTATGGCAGCTATATGATATAGTGGACCGATCCTTCCGACTCCAGAACATATTTACCACACAACAAAAAGATGGACTAATATAACCTTTTTTAACCATTTCTTAAAGACTGAACGACAAGTTTGCAAAGAAACAGGCAGACGTACAGCCGGACAAAACTATGTCAATTCAAGATTAATTAAACTTTATTAGTTCGAAGATGTCTTCTATGCGTTACGAATTTTGTGTCCAAATTATAATACCCCCTCGTAAGGGTATCAAAAGGCATCGTAAAAACAAAAAAATCTGTCGGTACGCGAAATGAAGGCATGAATGAATGAGCAGCTGAGCCAAATGCATGTTTGATTGAATGAATGTGCATTGAGTACGTGAAAATGCACAAGAGAAACAGAAGTGAAGGCAGCGGGTGGCAAGGTGAATACACTCACATTCCCAATCATATTTGCATATTCATATTTACCTGCTGATAAAGGTGCAAACTCAAAAGGTGGCAAGAAAATTTACGTTAAAAACCTCCAAATAAAACAAAGTTAAAGCAGACGCAGCGAAAAAAAATTCTTGAAACTGCAATGGCGCAATTTGAATGCATTTTTATTTTAATACCCATTCCGTGAAGGCATGAAGGGGTATATATGACCTATAGCACGTTGCTCACGTTGCAAATTCTCGACAACTTTAAACGTTGCTTCGATTTGTAGCAAATAGAAACCTACAGCGAGACTAAAGATAATCTCTATGCTTGTAATCTAAAGTTATTTTTGTATTTGTGTATGCACATTTCTAATGGGTGCACCCAATTTTAAGAGAGCAAATTTAAAGAAGCATCTGATGTTTATTTAAGTAAATATGGGAATAAAATATCTCCAATATACAGCACATAAAAACTTCTGAGTAGACTAAATTTTTAAAAACTTAACTGAACTTAATCTTTAATCCCAAGGCATTATCTCGAACTTTAGGCAGCTTTAAGAGCACACGAAAGCTTAAAGCGAATATAGAAAGTCTAAGAATAAATTGATTTTAAGCTCATATCATAGATTGTCTACAATTTGATTGAATATCTCGTTCGCTCTTGATCATATTCAATAATTATTAATATATAATATAGTTCATTTTTGTGAGTTTAAAATAATATTCAACAGGAATACTTTGACATTTGTACTGAGTATCTCTTAGCCGAAATAGTTTTGTAGACTTTAACATTTGTACTGAGTATCTCTTAGCGGTGATAGTTTTGCTGAAAAGCTTTGCGTATTGTCGACTTGCAGCACTTTTTGTTTTGCATAAATATGAAATGCGAATTTCAATGTGAATAGGCCCGGCAATGGCTTCCAACTGCAATTTGCATTGTTTTCGCGCTGAATGCCCCTAAGTTCTATGGTCTATGCAATGCCCTCAAATGCAATGCCTGACTGCGATGATTGCATAAAGGCAGTCAAGGAGATGCCTTTGCTCAGGATAAAAGGCACTGTGTGTGTTAGATTTTCTGTGTATGTGTGTGTGTGTGCTTGTGCCAAGGGGAGCAAGGTTATTCCGCTGAGAATTGCAGCTTTGTTAGATTGTGTTCCATTAGAGTTGTGCAATGAGCAGAAGATTTTATTGTTGTTATTTTGACTATTGTTGTACATTGACTAACAAGGCGTGAAAATAATTTAAAAAGGGATAATAGTAATAATAATAATAAAAAATAATAAATATATATTCCTATATTCGTAAGCCAACCAACTTGGCTATATTAGAAAAATGGGAATCAAACATATTTAAAGAACTGTATGAAAGTATAAAGTTTTAAGGTAGTACGGGATTTAAATTTCCTACGGGTGAGAAATAGATGGGAATGTGTTGTCTTGTCGAAAAGACTTGACAAGGGATAGGTAATGTCAAATAGAATATTATATATATACAGTAAGACTTTCACAAACTTTTAATTTATTTATTGTAAGGAGTGGTTACTATCATTTTCTGCCAGGACCCCAACTGAAATTCACCTTTGCTTTGGATGCCAACTTGTATTATTTATATCTTCTTGATGTTTTTTGATGTGAAATGATTGACATTTATTTCATTTCAGCTATTCAACTACGAGAACCAATTAAAGGACACTCATAATTAAGCTGGCTGTAACGATCAAATAAACAAACGAGGACTGCAAAAGGCAACATAACGAAAAGAAGAACCGAAACCAAACCGTATTAAAGCAAAGCAAAACTAACAATTAACTTGGCTTAGCCTGCTACCATTTTTCGTTGTGATAGAAACCAGAAAACTCGGTAAGTGGGACACAAACAGAAAACAAAGTCGACTTTTCAGGTACTATGGGGCTTGGTTATCTGGTATATGATACCTGCAATGACCACCTCAAAGGGCTGAAATGCAGCTAAAAGGCAAATGCACATCAAAAGGTTAACAATACGAGCCGGTCATACTATTAATTAGAATCTCGCCTTAGCTGCATTTCGCGTTTTTCCAACTGGCGCCGTTTTAATTATACCCCGAACTCATTATAAATTGTTACGGAAGGATATTAAAGGGTTGTGCAATTGCATGGAAAAGGCACAAAGATACATCTGTGACCCCTTTTAATATATATATTTAAAAATCAACAATAATTCTTTTCACTTTTCAAATTAACCAATGCCACGCCTAACGGTTGGATTCGTGTACCTGATTTTCCACGTCTAAGATACAACGATTTGTTTCAAACTTTTCAGCTCACATTTTTACAATGTTCAATGCATCGAAATTTTGTTTAAAAATTCTTTGAAGACTTTGTTTGTGTTACCTAAAAGATTTCGCAAGGATGGGCCACTATTCGCAAGTGCAATGTGTAGGGTATTCTTAGTCGAGCACACTTAAATATAACTATTTTTTATTTGCATTTTCGTTGCAAATTTGTTAACAGCAGCAAAAAATTGTTTACATTTTTAGTTTAATTTCTTTGGCGCTTCAGAATTCCACGAGCTGCCAAAAGGGGTGCCACAGGCGCTATGCTTTCTCTAGCGACCTCTTTACCCCCCGCCGCTCACCATACCCTTCTCTTTGTTCCCTGCTGTTTTCTCTTTCGTTTTTTTTTTTTGGCTTTGTAGGCCTATTCAGTCAAAGCATTTGATTTTATAATACTTATTTATATATACAATTTTTTGTATATTTTTTGTGTGCATATTTTGCATAGTTTATTGCTTCATTTCCTGCTGTTTCACGCTTTTGGCAAGGCACATCTATTTTATATACTATATGTGTGCAGTTCTATTCAGCTGTTTTTTTTTGTGGGGTTTGCGAACACAAAACGTTTTTTCGTATATTTTTTTCAACATTTTTTTTAGCATATTTTTCTTTATTCACATTTGTGTTTTATTTTTATTTTTTTCAAAGCTGTTGCTTAGTTTCTGTTTTTGTATCTTTTCCACTTGATCCACTTAAAAAAGCTTGAAAAAGAAACGCCGCGCATAATTTTATTTATTTTGTATGTCCTTACGGAAGGTATTCCAAATTTGTCAAACAATTGGTTAGCCTAGACAAGTCTCCCAGTTTCAAATCTATATTCTGTACATTTTATTCCAATGTTGTAGAAAGTTTATTTACAACATCGAAATCTATCAAATCAAATTGCATTATTGCTGCACCTATATAAAAACTAGAGATATATTTGGTTAGTTTCGTATTGTATATTGTATAAAGTAAATTAGTGTTTTATAATTCTAATTGTGCTATAATTCTCTATCCAATGACGAAATGAGATTGCTTAACAATATTTAATGCTATGCTATATTATGTATGCAAATATTTACATAATAAACGAAACCCATAAACTATATACTATATATTCTCCATCTCCATCCTTTTCTATGCAAACATGTCCTTCGGTTTGCAACCAGCCGAACGAACTATATCATATGGCTGACATCCAACCGAACAACTTTTTTGTTTATCAATATAGCTAGGCCAACCCCGGCATTTACTTCTTTAACTAAGCTGTTTTAACATGAGCTAAGTGTTAATCAAAATCGCAGTACTATATTATATAGCTCTATGGGAATAATCGGGAATGATATTTTATTTTCTAAGTTATTTCCACGGCTTTACTAGGTTGACTTGGTCAGATATATGTAATGCCCTAAGCCAAATATCTAAAAGGGTGTTCATTCTTCGGCGGGCCTTAGACAGAAGTTTCGATTTGCTTATTTTTCCTATTATTTATTTGAATTTTCACAAGAACAATTGAATCTACATCTATATAGACTTAGAAATCTTATGAAAGAAAGTGTATTCACTGTTCTGTAAGTGTGCGTTTTTTTTTTGTTCTGCGTTAATTTCATTTGCAGTGCTTAATGCTTTCGTGTTTTTGCCACGTTCTTTTGCTAACGTTTTATTTATGCTAATTTAATGCAATTGTTGTGTTTGGCGAAAATGAAAAAAAAAAAAACGAAACCGCAGACAATGGCGGCAACCATTCGTATGGGTAATGCGCAGAAAAAATAGAATACTTTAGGGTACATAATATTAAAGATAATCACTGTAATATTATTTAAATGCGGTCTTTAATCGTTGTAATTAAAAAGAATTTCGAGAAGTTTGCTTATGCAAGTATTTCTTAGGCAAGAGTTATTTTTCCAAACGAATGTGTCAATGTGATTCCCAACTCATTCTTGCCACAAAATCATGTTAAATACTTGGCTTAAACGGCACATATGTACTTCAGGCAACTATTCAAATTGTTAGGCTCACACTCTACACAGTTTACGTTAAGCTGCTAATCCTAACTGTGTGTCAATTACTTAACACTGCGTGCCACCCTTCACTCCTTTTCAATAAACCAAAAGCTATTGGCTTTGGCAACTTTCGTAGACCACAAATTTGTAGCAATTTGTGTTTGGTATTAGTTGGCGTTGATGGGTAATGCATATAACACCTACACGGTGGCTATAAATTTCACTAAATTTTATAAAGTCAACTCTGAGATACTCTCCAAACATACACACACACACACACACATCTGGCAAAAGACCCCACTAAGTGCTTCTCACACGTAGCAGAAGTAAATGTGTTTATATGTAAGCAACGGGCGGAAAGCACACGAAGCCAAAGGGATGAACATTAGATACATTCATGCTGAGACTTCCGCACAGACGCACACATGCTCACACACATACACCCACTTGGGGAGCCACACTACAACTCACACGTAGCAAGTGGCAGGTTAAAACCCAACATTGACTACCGCAATAGACAACATTAAAGTGGGTTCCTGCAAGACAACTTCACAGCCATTAGCACGCTGCAGTTTCTCAATTTCTCATCGACGATATAGTCCCTTGATCCAGAAACTTGAGGACTTGCAAGTATTGGTTTGATCCCCAACTTGGAGCAACATTATTTTGTGCCTTCTAAGACAGTGAACTTAGTGACCAAGGTTAAAATTCAAAAACATTTCTGTAAAATTTAAACGGGGTATTTATGTCCTTCAGTCCACGCTAATAAGCAAATTAAATCAGTCCAGTAAGGGGACTAAAGGAAAAATTAAAAATGAATTAATGAAAATATTATTTGTAGTCATAATTTTGACAAAAGTACAAATTGAAAATACTTTGTTAAGTTAGGTAAGGTAAAAATGAAAAAAAAAATTAATTCAATTATTTCTTGTGGTTAGCTAGAATAGTAAGAATTTTAAAAGATTTTAAAAATATTTAAAAATAAATATTTAATAAATAATTATATATAATATAAGGTTTGGCTATATTTTAAACAATATTTTAAGGGTAAACAACTTTCGGATTTGATGCACCCGCATTTCTGTGCTTTCTTTTAAGTTTTTGTTTTGTGTTTCCCAATTTTGCTTTCTTGCTCAGCCGTTCAAAGAATAATAGACACATGTGAGTGAATGCAGGAAATAGGTAAAAAAAAGTCTTGTACATTATTTTCTTTATTTTATTTTGCTTTTCCGCAAATTTTACAAATACGTTTGGCGTACGTCGGAGCAGTCGGAGTCTGACCGTGTGCTCTACGAGAAGGTGGCCAGACGAGGCTTCCTTTTTTTTGTGGTTTCACTTCGTGTTAGAGTGCCTGTTGTAGGCGGCTTTTTTTTTTGGTTTTGTTTGTTTTTTGCTTTTTCGTTAGCTTAATAAAAATACATTTTGCACGTGGTGTGCGACGCCCGCACCCAACAGTGGCTGCTCAGTGGGCCGTGCAAGGCTCAGTACTTACTCGTATATTTGTTGTACTATCTGCGTATCTGTGTTGGCGTAGCGCAAAAATAAACCGCACACACTTACCAGAAAATCCTTCCGGACACGTACAATTGTAGTAGGCAACACCATCCACACATGTGCCACCGTTTTGACAGGGGCCCGACCAGCATTCGTCCCAATTCGTTTGGCACTGGATCCCTGTGTAGCCGTCAATGCAGTAACACGAATACGAGCTGTACTCATTGTTGTTGTTGTTGTCGTTGTTGTTGTTGTTGTTATCATGGCACATGCGGGAGGAGGCAGTTGGTAGGTGTGGGCGCAACGGTGTGTCAATGATGCATCAAACGTTCAGCAAAAAAAGTTTTGTAGGCAAACCCATAAAATGAAAAGAGTAGAAAAAGTGAAATAACAACAAGAAAACGTTTTAGATAAAAATAGTTTTACAAATAGCACAATATGGTGTAGTATGTGGAGAGAACCAGAAAATACACGGAGAAAAAACAAATTCCAGCTCGCGAAGTCAGCGAAATACGTAATAAATTCCATTATTTGAAAATAAGTTTATTAAAGCATTATAAGAATAACAATATAACACAGACAAGTAGTTAATCATGTGTTAAATTGTGAGCTTTAAAGCTCACTTAAGCTCATTTAAAGCCATTTACTGTGCCTTTTACCGGTAATGACAATTGTGCTCTATTAATGTACTTATTAAATATTGCTAAAAGCTCACATTAACTTTTAATGTGTGAAATGAAAACTTATATATTCGTTTCAGTTTCAGTATTCAATCCTACTGACAGCTTTCATGGCCTTTCAAGGCTCCTAAATGTGTGATATAAAAGCTTATATGTACATTCGAACTCTTGCTATTTGGGTCTGTGTAACACTTATTTAATCCTTCTAAGAGCTTTCGAAGCTCTTTAATGTATAATATGAAAGCTTATGTACATATGTTGCAACCCATTCTATTTGGCTCTGTGTAACGGCGCATGGTGCTTACACAATTTGTTAGTGATTGGAGTGTGGCACACACGCTATGGACGCTTATGTACATACAAATGTATACAAATCTAGTAGGGGAATGTATCTGGATTTTGCTCAGTGCCCTGGCGAGTGCTATAAACTTGGCCAACGTACTTGAAACATTACGCTTGAGTAGTGGAAATAAATATTTGGTAGCCAATTGGGATTAGTTTTTCCTGCTAAGAGTGAATTGAAATTGAAACGGAAACGACAGCAGCAACAGCAACAGGAACGGTAACTGCTACGGCAACGGTAACAGTAGCAGCAACGTTCGGAACTGCAAAAGTGTCAGGGGAATGTCACCGACATGGCTTAACATGGCAGACGTCTCCTGGCTAGCCCTCCTCCAGTTCCCCTCCTCTCTCTATCTCTCTCTCTCTCTCTAGAATAAGTTTGCAGCTACACAGCTTAATTAAAGAACTTTTGTAGTCGGCTGGGTCGGTTGGGAGGCAGGGAGCTGGGGGTTACACTCTTTTATTATGGATTACATTTGGATGCATTTGCACAGCTCTGTTCAGGAGACCATTGGATTGGCTAAACAACAACAACAAGTTTTACTGTTGCCTTTGACATGGACTTGCTTACCCTGGAGGCCTGCTGATTTGTTGGCATGCCAAAAACAATCGCACTGAGTAGATAAATGGCCTTGGGGGCATCGCATTAGCTGTTGCAAGTCCATGTAATGGCTCAGCTATAGTAAAATTCCTAAAGAGAACCAGTCAAATGATGCATGCATTTCAATTTTAAGCAGCTTGAGCCTAGAGCTTTGCTCTTCGATAAAATCTCGTTAAAATCTGATATGTGTTTTTGAGATTTAGAAACAGTTGAAACACTTGCTGATAATCGGAAAATACTGCAGCATTTTCTTTAAATCGTAGTGTTTTGAAAACAGGTCTGCAAAGCCAACGTATTTATGCTTGGATCCTGGGTCTCCCTTAAAAACTTTCTAAACATTATCTGAAATATATATTACTAGCGAGTATTACCCGGATTAAGGTTCAAAGAATATTTTCCTCTAACGTTTAGATATAACTTACCCACCCATTATATGCCTGTGATAAATTTTCATTCTAGCCAATTTCTCGAAACTCTGTCTTGACGTGTACTTACATCACATAAGGTAACTACTAAATTATATAGCTAATGCTAAATTTTAAATAAAGATAATAACCTCAACCAGATATGAGGGCTTCAAGTAATTGAAAGAAGCATTCTTATCGAGGAAAGGCTAAGTTTACGCACGTCATCAATTAATTTAAATACAATCCTTTGCCATAACATATATTTTCAACTCGTTTGCTGAAGCTCTGTTGCAAAATGTTAGCCAACGATTTGGCAAACATTTCACTTTACGAGTTTAACGACTGTTATAAAACTCACTCATCTCTGATATGAGCCATAAATACTGCTATTGCCTCAAACTAGTTGAACATAAACCACGATAAACCAATAAAATATCAATGTACTTGGATAACGCTCAGTTGCTGGCAACCATAACCGAATTTCCGTTTTCCTTACGCTTTGGCAAACTTTAAGATGGGCAAAACTATTCAGTTAATCCGTTTAAATCTCATGGAATCATGTTAAATTTAATTGCAACTATAAATTTCGCTTGCCAGCGCATAAACTTCTATCCGGCCAGTTGTGCATTCTCCCTAGAATCATCCCTAGTGCGGCAGCCCCTGATTCATCCTCTTTCTCTCTAAATGGTGGTTATGTCAAGAAAAGCGCGCCAGAAAACATTTCAACCTCGCATTTGACTTGCAGCTTTGAGTCAAGATATCGTAAAAAATATCGTAAACGCTTTTTATAGAGCAAATTCACGGACTGCAAGATTGGGTGGTCTGTGCCACATGCTTGGTTCTGTTTAGGTTTAGAGTTAGAGCAGCTTCCGTTTTTGGCCGCATTCAGAGGTCGCATATAACGCGGCAAGTAGTAAAATAAAATACCAGTTACTTAGTTGTATAAGTTGTTGGCCATGACCAAACCAGAGAGCGACAGAGAGAGAGAGCGAGAGAGAGAGAGAAAGGGGGAAGTGGAAACGTTGGAAGCTGTTCGCATCATCTTTGACTTGTTTGTGCAGTAGTTATGTCTGGAATTGCCTAAAGTGCCTGTGTACTGTGTAATTCAGGGCGCCAAATTGCCAAATTTACAAAAGTTAAATGCCTCTGCTTAAGCATAAGTACCAAAAAAAAGGAAACACAATTTTTAACAATTACATATTTTAGCTTGCTATCCCAAAGATCTCGTCTTAAGTAGAAAACCCTTTATTAAACTGTTGATACCAAAACATAGCTGGAAGTCGAAGAAGAGGCCAGATTTTTAGCTATACAAGACCAGAATATTAAGAAATAAGAATATCAAAATGTTTTTTTTGAGATGAAATCAAACTTTTCATATATGCTAATAATAGATTTTAAATTGTACTGCAGCAAATCAAGACTAGATGATCAAAACATATCTTAATTAATAATATTAATAATAATATAATAATAATAATAATAGTAATATTAATAATATAGATACCAAAAATAAGGATAACTTTTCCTCTAAATGATCACAAATCCAAACCTCGTGAAAATCGGAAGAGATTTGACCGAGTTATGGGGGTGCGAAATGTTGACTTAAGTCTATATAGGATATTTGAGGGCACCATTTCCACTTGAATTTGGACCAAAAATAATGTTGCTAGATTTTAATGCCAAATTTATCTACAGGCCAAATAATGATCAAAAAGCCAAACCTCGTGAAAATCGGAAGAGATTTGACCGAGTTATGGGGGTGCGAAATTTTAACCTAAGTCTATATAGGATATTTGAGGGTACCATTTCCACATGAATTTTGACTAAAAATAATGTTGCTAGATTTAAATGCCAAATTTATCTAGAGGCCAAATAATGATCTAAGAGCCAAACCTCGTGAAAATCATAAGAGATTTGACCGAGTTATGGGGGTGCGAAATTTTGACCTAAGTCTATATAGGATATTTGAGGGTACCATTTCCACATGAATTTGGATCAAAAATAATGTTGCTAGATTTAAATGCCATATTTATCTACAGGCCAAAAAATTATCAAAAAGCCAAACCTCGTGAAAATCGGAAGAGTTTGATCGAGTTATAGTGGATCGAAATTTTGACCTAGTCTATATAGGATATTTGAGGGGACCATTTCCACTTGAATTTGGACCAAAAATAATGTTGCTAGATTTAAATGCCAAATTTATCTAGAGGGCAAATAATGATCAAAAAGCCAAACCTCGTGAAAATCGGAAGAGATTTGACCGAGTTATGGGGGTGCGAAATTTTAACCTAAGTCTATATAGGATATTTGAGGGCACCATTTCCACATGAATTTGGACCAAAAATAATGTTGCTAGATTTAAATGCCAAATTTATCTAGAGGCCAAATAATGATCAAAAAGCCAAACCTCGTGAAAATCGCAAGAGATTTGACCGAGTTATGGGGGTGCGGAATTTTAACCTAAGTCTATATAGGATATTTGAGGGTACCATTTCCACATGAATTTGGACCAAAAATAATGTTGCTAGATTTAAATGCCAAATTTATCTAGAGGCCAAATAATGATCAAAAAGCCAAACCTCGTGAAAATCCAAGATTTGGATATTATAGGATATTTGAGGTACCATTTCCACATGAATTTGGACCAGAAATAATGTTGCTAGATTTAAATGCCAAATTTATCTAGAGGCCAAATAATGATCAAAAAGCCAAACCTCGTGAAAATCGGAAGAGATTTGACCGAGTTATGGGGGTGCGGAATTTTAACCTAAGTCTATATAGGATATTTGAGGGTACCATTTCCACATGAATTTGGACCAAAAATAATGTTGCTAGATTTAAATGCCAAATTTATCTAGAGGCCAAATAATGATCAAAAAGCCAAACCTCGTGAAAATCGGAAGAGATTTGACCGAGTTATAGGGGATCGAAATTTGGACCTAAGTCTATATAGGATATTTGAGGGTACCATTTCCACATGAATTTGGACCAGAAATAATGTTGCTAGATTTAAATGCCAAATTTATCTAGAGGCCAAATAATGATCAAAAAGCCAAACCTCGTGAAAATCGGAAGAGATTTGACCGAGTAATAGGGGATCGAAATTTTGACCTAAGTCTATATAGGATATTTGAGGATATAGGATATTTGAGGGCACCATTTCCACATGAATTTTGAACAAAAAT